AGATGGGTGTCTAGCATCTATCAGTGAAAGGCCGGTAGATTTCACAGATGACAACAAATGGATCGAAATGGACGGGAATGCTATGGCAAATTTTCATCTAGCATTAGCAGATGAAGTATTGTCAAGCATCGAGGAGAAAAAGACAGCTAAGGAGATATGGGATCATCTCACCAAACTGTACGAGGCCACATCGCTGCACAATAAAATTTTCCTTAAGAGAAAATTGTACACTCTCCATATGCCAGAATCTACTTCAGTGACGGAGCACTTAAATACACTGAACACTTTATTTTCTCAGCTTACATCTTTAAGCTGTAAAATAGGAGAACAAGAACGTGCTGAACTTCTACTTCAAAGTCTACCGGATTCGTATGATCAACTCATCATCAACTTGACAAACAATAATGTCACCAGTCTAGTCTTCGATGACGTTGCAGCTGATGTTCTACAAGAAGAAAATCGGCGCAAGAACAAGGAAGACAGATAAGTAAATCTGCAACAAGCAGAAGCGTTGACAACAATGACAATGATGAGAGGGAGATCAACAGAACGTGGCCAAAGCAACAGTCACAAACATAATAGATCGAAGTTGAGAAGCAAGAAGAATTTAAGTGTTACAACTGTGGAAAGAAGGGTCACTTGAAGAAGGATTGTTGGAGTCTAAATAAAAACTCCAATCCACAAGGCAATACCGCAAACACTTCAGATGATGGAGATGCTCTATGCTGTGAAGCATCAACCACCGTGGAAGGAAGAAAACGATTTGCAGATATATGGCTCATTGATTCGGGAGCAACATATCACATGACCTCAAGAAGAGAATGGTTCCATCATTATGAACCTGTCTCAGGAGGATCTGTGTATAGTTACAATGATCATGCCTTAGAGATCGTTGGCGTGGGAACCATCAAATTGAAGATGTACGATGGAACAATCAAAGTTGTTCGAGATGTGCGACACGTGAAATGCCTGAAGAAAAATTTATTATCCTACGGATTATTGGATAATAATGCAAGCAAGATTGAAACACGGAAAGGAATCATGAAGGTGTTCCGTGGAGCGCTTATGGCGCTGAAAGGCGAAAAAATAACTGCAAACTTGTACATGCTGAAGGGAGAGACTTTGGTAGAAGCAGAAGCCTCTGTTTCCTCATGTAGTTCAGATTTGGCAATGCTATGGCATCAGAAACTTGGACACATGTCAGAACAAGGAATGAAAGTTCTTGTGGAGCAAAAGCTACTTCCAGGCTTAACAAATGTATCACTTACTTTGTGTGAGCATTGCATAACAAGTAAGCAGCACCAGTTGAAATTCAACACGTCAAATTCTAGATGAAAAAATGTTCTAGAATTAGTTCATTCTGACGTATGGCAAGCACCAGTTACATCCCTAGGTGGAGCAAAATACTTTGTCTCATTTATTGATGACTACTCTAGGAGATGTTGGGTGTATCATATTAAAAAGAAGTCAGATGTGTTTTCAACTTTCAAAATCTTCAAAGCGCGGGTGGAACTTGATTCTGGAAATAAGATCAAGTGTTTCAGAATAGATAATGGAGGAGAATACACAAGCGAAGAATTTGATGACTTTTGCAGGAAAGAAGGCATCAAAAGACAGTTCACAGTGGCAAATACTCCTCAACAAAATGGAGTGGCAGAGCGGATGAACAGAACCTTGTTAGAAAGAACAAAAGCAATGTTGAGGGACGCAGGCCTAGAAAAATCATTCTGGGCAGAAGCAGTCAATACCGCCTGTTATTTGGTGAATCGAGCTCCATCAACTGCAATAGAGCTGAAGACACCAATAGAGATGTGGACTGGTAAACCAGCTGATTATTCAAACATCCATATATTTAGAAGTATTTGTACGTGATGTACAACTCCCAAGAAATCTCAAAGCTGGATCCAAAATCCACGAAATGCAAATTCTTGGGGTATGCTGATGGAGTCAAGGGGTATCGCTTGTGGGATCCACTGCCCACAAAGTGATCATCAGCAGGGATATTATCTTTGTAGAGGATAAACTACAAAGGAAAGAAGACGATGATAGCACTGAAAAGTCAGAGACTACACAGATAAATGTGGAAAAGGAGTTTGAACAAGGAGATTCTTCTGAAGCAGAACCAGCACATGATGAACAAGAACTAGAGTTCTGAAGCACCAATAACTTGTCAATCAGATCGTGTGAGAATATGTCCCAATTGGCACTCAGATTATGTTATAGAAGGTAATATTGCATACTGCCTTTTAACAGAGGACGGTGAGCCATCAACATACCAGGAGGCAATAAAAAGCTCAGATGCTTCACTATGGATGATGGTGATGCAAGAAGAAATCGAAACCCTTCATAAAAATAATACATGGGACCTTGTGCCACTACCACAAGGAAGGAAGCCGATTGGTAACAAATGGGTCTTCAAAATCAAGCGAAATGGTGACGATCAAGTGAAGAGGTATCGTGCAAGACTGGTGGTCAAAGGATATGCTCAGAAAGAAAGTATTGATTTCAATGAAATTTTTCTCCTGTGGTTCGACTAACAACAGTTCGAGTAGTCTTGGCAATGTGTGCTACATTGAATTTACATTTGGAACAGCTAGATGTTAAAACAGCTTTTCTTCATGGAAATCTTGAAGAAGAGATTTATATGCTCCAGCCTGAAGGTTTTGAAGAAGACGAAAAGAAGAACTTGGTTTGCAGGTTGAACAAATCTCTGTACGGTCTAAAGCAGGTGCCGAGGTATTGGTATAAGAGATTTAATTCCTTCATTATGTGCCTTGGATACAACAGACTTAATGCAGACCCTTGTGCTTATTTCAAGAGGTCTGGTGATAACGATTTTGTTATATTGCTGTTGTATGTGGATGACATGTTGGTTGCAGGACCCAACAAAGATCATATTGAAGAATTGAAGGCACAACTGGCTAGGGAATTTGAAATGAAGGACTTGGGATCAGCAAACAAGATTCTAGGGATGCAAATTCACCGAGACAGAAGCAATCGGAAGATTTGGCTTTCACAAAAGAATTACTTGAAGAAAATCTTGTCACGATTTAGCATGCAAGATTGTAAGCCAATTTCTACCCCTCTTCCTATTAACTTCAAATTATCCTCCAGTATGAGTCCTAGCAGTGAAGAAGAGAGGATGAAGATGTCTCGAGTACCGTATGCATCAGCAGTGGGAAGTTTAATGTTCTCTATGATATGCACAAGACCAGACATTGCACAAGCAGTGGGAGTGGTTAGTCGGTACATGGCGAATCCAGGCAAAGAGCATTGGAATATTGCAAAGAGAATCCTAAGATACATCAAAGGGACCTCAAATGTTGCATTATGTTACGGAGGATCAAACTTACTAATCAATGGGTATGTAGATTCTGACTATGCAGGGGATTTGGATAAAAGCAAATCTACTACAGGATATGTGTTCAAAGTTGTTGGTGGAGCTGTAAGCTGGGTTTCAAAATTACAATCAGTTGTGGCTACGTCCACAACAGAGGAAGAATATGTAGCAGCTACACAAGCCAGTAAAGAAGCAATTTGGTTGAAGATGCTATTGGAGGAGCTTGGGCACAATCAAGAGTATGTCTCTCTGTTTTGTGACAGTCAAAGCGCCTGCATCTAGCAAGGAATCCAACATTTCATTCAAGGACTAAGCACATACGAGTTCAGTACCATTTCATTCGTGAAAAGGTGGAAGAAGGAACGGTAGATATGCATAAGATCCATACCAAAGACAACATAGCAGATTTCATGACGAAGGTAATCAATGCTGATAAATTTACCTGGTGTCGATCCTCCTGTGGCCTGTCAGAAACGTAAGCAACATGAAAGGTACAAGGTAGAAAGAATGGTGTGAAGATATGATTGTTCCAATCAAATCTTCAAGTGGAGATTGTTGAAAAGTTAACTTAATATGCAAATGGCCAAATTGATGGCAACATTTCGGTGGAGAGTTGAAGACAATGAAACTTTCGGTGCACATGCAATTAGGTGGCTGAAATTATTGATTTTTTGGAAATGGTACAATCTCACATTTAGTCATTATACATTAGGGTATTTTCAAGATTAGTCCTTAAGTTTCAACTATAAATACCCTATATCATTTAGCTTCAAAATCATCCCAAAGCATTCTAGCTTTCTTCCAATACTAGAGAGATTTTAGAGAGTTTCTTAAGAGTTGTTTTCTCCTTTTTATCTAGAGAGAATTATCATTGTTTTCTCCTTGGTAGATCGAGAGAGGTTGTAATTCCTATTTTCTCATAGTGAAATTCTTCTACCGTTGCCCGTGGTTTTTACCCTAAATTTTTAGGGGTTTTCCATGTAAATTTTGTGTCTCTTTTATCTTCATTTTTTATTTTTTCAAATTATCAGTTGCGATTTTGCTTATCCGATAGCCGTCTTCCGCAACAGATAATACGTGTTGTATTTAAAACTTAAAAGTTAGAAATATATGTTTTACGATTTAGAGTTTAAAACTGGAAAGAATAATTTATACAATCTTTATATTAAATAATAACATTTGAAAACAATAATTTATTTTGCATGTCGCAATAATAGTAGTGGGTGGAATAACTACTCCATGCCTCCATCTTCCACCACACTAGCGCATTGAACACACACACAATGGTTGAGTTGTGCCTACTTTTTGTTTACTACAAAGGTTGTACTTAACCTAAATTATTATCACTTTTGTAAATATTAAATACACCATTTCTTTTTATATATAATTTTTGAAAATCTTCTACTTTCATCAAGTAGGATTTATGAAAATTGTCAGTTTTTTATAGATAATTTGGTTTTTATTACCCAAAAGAAAGAACAATAACGAACTACAATAAGTACAAACTACCAGAAGTCAATAAAAAATCAGACCCATACTGTCAACCTAAGTAACAACCATAACAAACAATTAGCCAAAAAAGACAAAGGCAGAAGCAAAGAAAGCAAAATACAAGAAAGGGACGGCCAGGCAGTCCACAATATTACAGCAACAGCCAGAACTAGCCAATGTTCCATTCTAGGCAAAACTGTAGATTAACATTGTCAGCCTTGTTAATATTGCAACCATTTATCCTATCACCAACAGATCTTCTAATACTGTCAAAAATATTATCAACAGACCGAGAATAGCCTCTAAAGCGCCTGAAATTTCGTTCTTCCCATACAAAGTATACCAGGCTAATCCAAGCTAGTTTCAAAATACTAACTAGCAAGGATTTACCCCTGAAATTGACTGTTGCCCAATCCAGAAAGTCACTCCAACACAAATTCCTGTAGGGAATTCTACAGGTCTGTAGGATCTTTCTCCAAATACCGCTCACAAAAGCACAATCATTGAATAGATGATCTTTGTCTTCTAATTCAGTATTGCAGAGGTCACAAAGTCCATTCCCATATTGATGAGACTATCATTGGTTGGAAGCCTACTCAAGACAGCCATCCAAGCAACAATTGACATTCTTGGAACACATAAGGGAAACTAGATTATGTGCTCCCATTTGACCTTCTCCCTCTTGTCTCTAAGCTTCTCCCACACCCATTTACTTTTAACTATGTTCCAGTCCACCACACTACCAAATAAATCTACAGCTTCATTTTTAAGTTTAAAGAGCTTTCTCAAGATCCAGCTAAGTTGAGGCTTGGGACTGGCTTCCCAAAAAGCAGACCCCTTCAGAGCATACTCTTTGATCCATGCCACCCAAAGTGACCCTGCATTTGCTAGAATGTTCCTGATCAGCAAGAAACAACACACCTTGTTCCAACAGCCGAGGCTCTTTAAACCCAAACCCCCCTCTGATTTTAACCAACACATTTGCAACCAACTAACTCTAGCCCCCTAGCAGGAATGTCTCCCCCTTCCAAAAAAGCCTCAAACAAAACTGCTCAACCTGCTTAATGACCTCATTAGGCAAAACCAAGCTGCCTACACCAGTAATTAGAGATACTGAAAATCACAGATTGAATAAGTTGCAGCCTACCACCATAGCTCAGCCTCAACTTAGACCACATGCTTAGTTTGCTTTTGATCTTGTCAATCAAAAGAAGACAGTCCTTGGCAGTTAATTTTCTAGTGACTAGAGGCACTCCAAGGTACCTGATAGGAAATCTTCCTAGTTTGAAACCAGTAATTGCTTGCACCCTGCTCAAAATATCATTATGCACCCCACAAGCAAACAATTCGGATTTACCAGCATTCAGTTGAAGGCCATGCAACTCATAGAAAACCCCCAAAACTCCAACAACACCCAAAACAGAACTCTCATCCCCATGGCAGAAAATAAGCAAATCATCAGCAAAACTAAGATGGGTGAGAGAAACACGTTTGCATTTAGAGTGAAACCGAATTAAACCATTCTTAGCAGCAATATTTAGCAAATGGAATAGAACATTCATAATTAGAATAAAAAGATATGGACAGTGGGTCACCCTGCCTGATTCCCCTCATTCCTTAAAAAACCCACTAAACTCCCATTAAAAGCCACAGAGAATCTAGCACCAGTGATGCAAGCCCTAATCCAAGCTCTAAAAACATCAAGAAGCCCCAGGGCAGCAAGAACTTTCATAAAAAAATCCCAACAAACAGAGTCAAAAGCCTTCCTAAGGTCAATCTTAATAGCACATCTAGGGGACAATGACTTGCGAGAGTAGCCCTTAACTATTTCCTAAGCTAGCAGGGTATTGTCTACAATGCTACGACCCTTAATAAAAGCAGACTGATTAGGCAAAATCATGTATGGAAAAAATCTAGCCAAGCGGTTGACAATGATGCCAGTAATAGTTTTATAAACAACTGAGCAACAGGAAATAGGGCAAAAGTCCTTAACCATACCTGCATTGGGAGTCTTAGGCATAAGGACAATGGTTGTAGCATTGAAGGCAGGCAACAAGGTACCAGTCTGAAAAAAATTCTTTGATGGCAGCCAAAAAATCCACTTGGACAATATCTCAGGCCACCTTGAAGAAATAAGCAGTATATCCATCAGGCCCTGGGCTCTTTTCATTCCCTTGTTTGAACAAGAGGCTTTGATTTCCTCATTTGAGACCTCCTTCACTAAGGAACAACAACATCACAAGAGAGTTCATACCCAGGAGCCCCTTAAGAACATCCACATCACAACTTTTGACACCCGAGTCTTCAATGCCAAGTAACTCAGTATAGAACCTAACCATCTCAGCAGACATGGCTTCAAAAGTATCCAGCCTGGAACCATCCTCAGCATAAAGCAATCTGATAGTGTTTTTCTGTCTCTTCCTCATTACAGCAGAATGAAAGAATTTAGTGTTTCTGTCACCCTCCTTAAGCCAATGGATTTTGGCTTTCTGCTTGTAGAAGGAAGCTTCAGCCACCTCAAGTTCATGAAGTTCATTTTGGAGGGTCTTCTTATCATCAATGTAGCAGCCATCATGTGAAATATTTGCAAGCTGAACTTGTTCGAGCTGGTCCCTCTTATCCTTTACTCTTTTGGAAATGTCATCAAAATGACAACTGTTGAACTCTTTTAATCTAAACTTAAGACTTTTCAACTTAGTAAAAAGTCTATACATAGCAGTGCCAGGGACTTCAGTTACCAAGACTCCTTAACAACATTCATAAACTCCACATGCCTAGCCCAACAGTTGAAAAACTTGAAGGGTTTGGGTCTATCAACATGATTTTCCTTAAAGAAAGAAATCAAAGCAGGGCAATGGTCCGATACCCCTTGAGCTTTAAATTCAACGAATGAACTAGGGAAATCTTCAAACCATCGAGGGTTAATGAGGACTCTATCTAACTTGCGGGCTAAGAAATTCCCCTCTTGTCTATTGGACGAATAAAGGCCCCATAAAAGGATGGTTATTGAGCTCCAAAGAAGACAAGCAGTTCCTGAGAGCCTCCATATCAGCATTGTCATAGGGACCTAACCTCTCTGAATTAGAACTCTCAACAGCATGAGCAAAAATGTTGAAATTACCTCCAATAAGCCAAGACGATTCCCCCACCATATTTTCCACCTTATTCAACTGCCTCTAGAGATGCAACCTTTCAGTACCAGAATTACTACCATAAACAACTGTAATGACACATCTATGACCACTAATCTCACCAACTATGGACAAAGACTGATCAAAAGCTTTCAAAATAGAAAAATTAAGACCTATCCTCCAAAAAATCCAAAGCCTGCCATTTTCAGAATGTTCATGATTTGAGTAACTATCCTAATCCAAAGAATAGCAATCAGTAACTCTATTCATATTAGCAGACCTCACCCTAGTTTCCATAAGGCAGATAACATCAACATTGAGCTTACTAAGCCTCGAAAACACCTGCTTTTGTTTCAAAAGACAGTTGAACCCCCTGACATTCCAAAAACAAGTTTTCATTGAGCATAAATAACCTCCCCCCAACAGCACCTACAACAACAGCCACATACTCTTTCTTTTTACTTTTCATTTCATTCAAAAGAGCAGCAACCCCATAGAAGCATCTCGAGATTTTCTTGTACCTTCCATACCAGTTGCTGCTACAAGAACCTCAAAATTATCAGTTATCCTTCGATTGCAGTCTTTATTTGATTTTTTTTTCATTTATCATAATCTTCAAATAACTTGTATTTTCTTGACAAAGCCCCCCAAGTCAATTATAATATATAGATAAGACTTGAGCAAGACCTAGATAATACATTTGACAAATTCATGTAACTTAACAAAACTTAATCCAAACTTAGACAGTTAGATCTCTCTAGCCTGTCCGTCTATAAATAATCATAATAATCATACGACTTCACACAATAAAAGTCACTATAAATAATATCAACCAAGTCTAAAAAAGAAATTGTTCTTAATAATCTCTACAACCTTCACCGTCATTTTTTCTCATTTGTCCTATTCTACACAAAGATATAGGTCGTCAAATGTTCTTTTATCGACCGCAATTCTTTACTTAGCAGAAAGAATAAATCATCAATAGTCGTTGGATAAATTTATTTTTATTAATGATTTTATTATAATATGTTTGTTTTTTAAGATAATTTTTAAAAACTTTGAATCAAAATACCACTAGATTAAGGTCACGTTCAACCGCCTTTTGGACTAGAATCAAAAGATAATTTTGACAGTTTTCGGTGACTTTGAATCAAAAGATAATTTATCTTGAGCATTACTTCCTTATTCCCCTTTATTTTCACCATTTTCTCTAATTTTACCTATAAACCCCCTTGGCCTGTCACGTAACACACTAAAAACAAAATAAAAGCTAAAACAAAGAAAGAGAGAATCAGAGGATCGGGTTTGCTCCAACCAACCGTGTTGGAGTTAGTTATCTGTTAATTTTGGGCAGCGGAAATTCCTAATTTTTGGTCTGACACCTGTAATTGATAGGTCAGCAACACAAATAAGATGTGGACCCACCCCACTATCTTCATCATCTTCCACTGTAACATTTGGACTATATCTATTATAAATTCAAAATCCACCCCTAATCTATCATCCAAAAGATGATTACAGAATAAAATTGATTCAAGGGTATACGAACTCGATTATAAGATGATATTTTATTAAGTTTTTTATTATTAAAAATTATAAAATTATTTGTTGAACATGATTTTATTTTGTTGAGTCACCGATTAGTAAAAATTACAAAATGATCTCTCAACTATTCGTATGTTTTAAACTCTTCATTTTTCGTTAAAATATTGATGACCATCTGAGCTGGATGTTAACATGCTGACTGAGATATAATAAAATTATATTTTAACGAGGTCTACTGACACCGTCATTGCTTTCAAGCACTGCCTCAATGATATAATATTTCAAGCATTGGTTCGATGATATAATATAAATGAAGTCTGCCCAAAAAATACAACTCAACTGGTTCTGAGATCAAATTCTATCATATCTCGTTGAATAAGTTAACATCAAACTCAAATAATTGCTAATTTTTTAACTAAAAACGACGAGATTAAAATATATAAATAATTATATGATTTTTTATAACTTTTAATAATCAGATACTCAATAAAATAACGCTTTATAATTAGAAATTTATTTTATAACTTTTAATAATAAATATACTAAACAAAACATTCGCCTATAATCAAGAATCACTTGTGTACTTAGCCTTCGTTATAGAAATCATGTTTACTAATTTCCAGACAATACTTTATTTATTAAAGACGATAATTAGCTCTCTCATCCATTATTTAAAGTCGATAAATCAATTCAATTAATGAAACCAAAATGAGAAAAACCACTCAATTCTTTTATGATTGATGATCAAATCAAATGAACTCAATAAGCAACCTACGAAATTCCATCGTTCCTCATCTCACATGGAAAATGATTAAAGTACCAAATACCACGTTTATCATTCAGAGGCCTTAAAAATCATAAAGCATAACGTAATTAACTTCTTACGCATAAAAAAGAGACTCCATCCCATAAATCTCTGTACATATTTGATTGATTAATTCAAATTGGGTTTTACAAAGGCTTATTATTGGGACGACTCTTCTAATTCAGTTTGTTTCATTCACAACTGTTAGGATTTAAATCTCTGACATTGCTTAAAAAATCTAATACCTCATCCCATTAGACTAACTGAATATAGGACCCGATATAACTTTGGCTACTTTTAGAATGTGTAGGATTTATGTGCATTGTGTCACAGATATAACCTTTGACCCTATGATTATGTCGTGCGACACTCAAATGAGACTAATCCCAGACAAGTCAACCTTTCCCTCAATGATCTTTGCCTCGTTTCCACCCATCATAAAGCTATGCCACACTTGTCAATAATCATTCCCTCGAATCATTAGCCAATCACATAAAAACCAGATAAGCCTCATATTAGTCCACAAGCCAAATTATAGTCCCAAAGCCATAAGTACACTTGAGAGGGAGATTATGCGGGGCATAGAGAATGCTAGATTACAACCCCACTCCTCAACGAAGAGTGTGATATGGGACTCGTAAGCCCCAAACAATCCTTAAATATAATCATAGAGAGACATCATACCATCCACTTGGTCTTGATGCCCACACTCCTAGACTCCACATGAACCTAAGAGAATGTCGCTTACAACATAGTAGCTCCACATGCTAGCTCAGGGTGAGGGGATAGTGGAGACCCAACACCAAATCACTTCCCTCTAAAGAACTAAATAAACTTATCAACTATGACAACAGTAGATGTTGGAACGTCTGAAACTAGGGCATTACTATGACATGCCCTCTATCGTCATTCCTCAAGCTTTTCCTTCACTCTCGAACGCTTCTACTCAATCTTGCATTGGGTTATTGTCAGAATAATCTCATGGAATGATATGTCCCTGACATTCTCCCCCACTCACTTTGGTCGATGTCCCCATCAACACTAAAACCATATTGTAGTTACCTTGTTGCATAAGTTGACCCTCCTCGAAAGGTCCATCACTTGCCCCCAAGAACTAAGATCATCATTCTTTCTATGAGACATCAAACTCATAGCTTTGGGAAGAGTAAACCCACTCACCTTCTGATTCTTTCTAGTTATCGTTGGGTCGATTGCTTTTAAGGATACAACCTTGAGGAACCATTGTTGGTATGTCTAGAATTCTGAACACCATCACATCATCTTAAACCATATGACACATCACTTGGCATGTCACACTTCTCGTACCTACCATTTTACGACATCTCCGAAGATGTGTCACACATGACAAGGTCTAGGTAATCACTCCTAATGGTTCCTTAATGGTTCTAAACACATGGACATTCAAATATGTTGACATGTCCCAACTATGGTCCTCTCGGCTCTTTATAAACACCTCATCTCCACTTGGTTCACCTGGCCAACTAATACTCACTTGTAGCATCACCAACTTTATTATTGTTCAAGTCTTCCACCATAGTAATGACATACATGTTTAATTACTATACACAAAAACACCACTAACAAGTACATTTTTTGCCCAATAAATATAATATGAATCCAAATACGTCATACCCATATATCTAAGTTATTTTTTTTATCATTCTCCATGATTCTCACTTGTTGACACCTTGCCACGTGGTTTAACTTGTTAAAGTCATTCATCTGCCCCAGTCAATCATACGACAGACTCATCATGAACACCATTAACTCTATAACTTTGCATTTCGTAGCTCCACATTCTCCCCCACTCGATCTCATGATGGACTCGCTATGAACACTTTCCTACTTTATTTATTTGACGTTGACCACATAATCCACTCGCTTGTACCTCAATATTCGCCCCACTTAATTTTTTGATACCCTCAACACGAACAACATTACCCCTCATGATATTTTTTATACAATCAATAAGATGTCAATGAATATTAATTGAAACAATTACCTCTTTTACCTTTTATCCAGAATCCAATACATCATTTGTATAAACAACTTGTTACGATAAAAGAGATAGCTCCCACATTGATTTTCTGATAAAATAAGGACATCATTCCCACACGAAATAATGAACCATTTAATTCGATCAACTATGAACCAATTTGAAATCTTGAATGCCTCATAACCCAATAAGAACCAACGAGTGAGATATCAAGCATCCAAAAACATACATAAATGAGAATCCCTGCTAAAAATAATAGAACATAAGACTTATTGTGCCACAATGAACCAACACTTACATGCAAAGATTAAAAGTAAACACCCCGGTACTATCAAGAACAAGCTCCTACATAAATAATTGAAGTATATGCATTGTCATGAATATCACTAACAAGTACCTTTAAGCTAAAGAATGATCACCCCGAACAAATATCATAAACAAGCACCCCAGAGTACGGCAAATGAGTAACCCTGCACGAAAGATAAATATAGATATCTCATTTTGCCACACTGACTTTCTATTTCTTTAATTTAAGGCTAGCCCAGAACATGAATCTC